TCTCTCTCTCTCTCTCTCTCTCTCTCTCTCTCTCTCTCTCTCTCTCTCTCTCTCTCTCTCTCTCTCTTGTGCCAGGTACTAACCTGTGAAGATGGCGCTGTGCTGCAGGTACCTCGAAGACGAAGCTGGAGCTATGGCGCTCCAGGTAAGTCCCCCTGGCCTCCGCCCAATCTCTCTCTCCCTCCAGTACTACTCTAGCTCCTACTAGCGCCCAGCGCTGAAGACCACTGCTAACGCTACTACTACTACTGCAGCGCTCCTCCAGAGTGCTCCTGCCGAATCCTGAAGACTACCTCCTGCCTCCTGAACTGCACGTGAAGTGCCTGGGACGTCCCTATGAACTACCTGCGGCCTGCAGGGCGGGCCAGTCCTATATAGTGCTGGCCAGTCCAGGAGGCTGCTCTTGCCAATGCCAAAACGTGCCAGACCCTGGCGTTGAAGCTCAAACAAAGGTTGTCTTGAAAACAGGCCCAAAATGGCCTGTGCTAAAACCCTGGTCTGGTGCCTACGTTTCAGGGCAGGTCGATCTTATGAGGGCCTGAAAATGGCCCTCCGTTTCAGGCTGAAAAGACTCAGGGCCTGGAAGTCCCTGTTTTAGGCTGAAACGACACAGGGCCTGTAGTCCCTTGTTTTCAGGCTTTCAGGCTGAAAACGTCACGGGCCTGAAAATGGCCCATGCAGCCTGTTGCAGGGGCAGCATGTAACACTGACCCTGAACCACCTAGAACCCCTAGTCCTACTGGTCGGGCCCTGTCGGGGCCCCTGTGGGATCTGCGTACGCCACACCAGGTGAGTAGTCCGTTGCCCTCAGAACTGCTGAAAATCTCTACCTCTCTACTGTCTACTTCCTAGCTTCTCTACTGCTATCCTAGTTCCTATCTAACGCTCCACAGATCTGCTCTCCAGCAGCCTATCACCGAAGTAACTCTAACACTGCCTGCCCCCAGCTGAGTGCTGGCCCAGCCATATACCGCTGGGCCTACGGGAGGTGCTCTCAGCCTGCATCTAGGGCCGTCCAATTTAGTTTGCGATCAATGGTCCTAGATGCAGGCTCAAGTCCTGGTCTAGTCACTGGGCCTCAAAACAGCCATCCTGGGTCCCTTCCGAACGTCCACAAAGGATGAGGACTGGGCCAGGTAATGCAGGACAACCTGGTTAGCCAGCTGTGGATGAAAGTCTGCTGCGCCCAAAGAAATCGCCGAAACATCGAAAGCAGTAACGCTGCTGGTCCAGACAGACACAAGTGAAAACCATGGAAACAGGAACCCCACCGGTCCTGTTCAGACCCAACGAAGTCCGAAACGATATATCCCAGACCAGACAATCCACAAACAGATTGAAAAAAAACTCTGAAACAACACAGTCCTAAGCCAGACAAAATCAGAACAGATCAGAATCCCAAAAAAATAAAACACTCAGCAAAAAGTACACAAACAGACAAACTGACTCCACGCTGCCTGAATGAGGCAAACCAAGGCCCAAAATAGTGTCCGTGGCCATAGGCCACCCAAAATGTGGGCCGTGTGCCCTCTGGGCCCTCAGGTCCAAATTCGGGCCCCTGGGGCCCATGTGGGAAACCCATGCATCTCTCTCTCTCTCTCTCTCTCTCTCTCTCTCTCTCTCTCTCTCTCTCTCTCTCTCTCTCTCTGTGGGGGGGGGGGGGGGGGGCGAGGTGCTGGTGGAGGCATGGTGGGCAATCACTTGTTAAGCTGCTGACATCATATCTATCTATCTATCTATCTATCTATCTATCTATATATGCAATGACTTGCTGATTCAACTGCCGAGGCTGACTGCGAGGCTGTACAGTGTACTGCGGTGTTTGCTGTGTGCTTTGCTGTGTTTTTTTGTCCGCACTGAGGGCCGCCCGCTGTTCTAAAAATAGCCTGAATTAACAGTAGGGGCTGAGTAGTTACCGGCCCCAAGTGGCCTTGAGCCCTAAGTGCAGCACTAGGACCGATTCCGTAGAGGCCGAGTAGGCCCTAACGGTACCGGTAGGCCCTAGGCTAGGATAGTGTAGAATCTACAAGTAGGTTCGGGTAGGACGGTTTAGGACTTTTTTGGCTGTTCATTTTCGCG